AATAAAACAGAGGATGGGCGGGAGGAAAACCATACTGAAGTTCTTAAACTATAAAAAAAGTGGCATATTATCTGAGAACAAACTGCGATAAGATATATAGTATACACGGTAGAGCTAACAAAAAAATATTTTTAGAGGACAAAGACTTTTAAGCCAATTATGGAGATAAGATAGAATTGCAAATATTTATAAAGTAAAGGTAGGAAGGAAAAGAGGGAAACAAGAACAGAGTACCGATGGGGCAAATAGAAAGCAATTTGAAAAATGTGAGATTTATAGTCAAGTATACTGATAATTTTATTAAATGTAAATGCTCTAAACACTTCAAGTAAAATGCAGGAATCTGGAGATTTGATATGAAAATAATTCACTATAAATGTAAATTCAGAGATACAGTAAGTGTGTGTATATATATATGTAAGTGTGTGTATATATATATGTATGTAAATATATATATATAAATAGATATACTACACAAAATTTGAGATCTTTATAATAAAATAATACAAAGTGGGCCTTAAAACAAGGAATATTTTTCCACCACCAAAGAGTCAATTAGTCAATAAGATATAACAATATGTATTCAAGTAACAGAGTTCCAAAATAAAGAAAATGTGACCAAAATGAAATAAGAAACAGAAAAAATCCACAATCATATATAGAGATTTCATACTCATCTAATTAACATTAAAAAGCAAACTAAAAAAATTGTTAAAAATATAAAAGACCTGAACAACACTATGAATCAACTTGACATTTACAAAAAAACTCCAACCAAAGATAGCAGGGTCCACATTCTTTTCAAAAGTCCATGGAACATTCACCAAGATAAGACTTTTCTGAGAAAATGTTTATAACTGCTTTATGAATAATAACGCAAAACCTTAAATAATCCAAATGTCCATCAAATAGTGAGCTTGTCAGCATATCATAGCACATCCACACAACAGAATACTATTTGGCAATATAAAGGGATGAACATACATGCAACAACATGAGTCAATCTCAAAAGCATCATGCTAAGTGAAAGAAGCCAGGCACCAAAGGCTACATACTATATGATTCTATTTTTATAACATTCTGGGAAAAGGCAAAATTACAGAAACAAAAACTAAATCAGTGCAAGGTCAGCAGTGAGGGATAGGGAAAGACATATAGGGAGAGGATAAGGGGGCACAAGGGAATCTTCGGGGTGATGGAAATGTTCTATCTTGATCATGATGCTGATTACAAAACTGCATACATTTTTCAGATATCATGTTTCCTTATAAATGGAATTCTTTGTATGTTAATTCTATCTCATTAATCTAACCTTTAAAATAAAAAATGAACAAATATTGTTACCCGAGATAGACAATTGTATAAAATATGCTAAAAAATAGAGTGATGATAATAATAAACTCTTAATGTGTTTATTAAGATCAGCAGAGGCCTTGATTTACTTTTCTGGAAAAAACTTTTTTAGAAATTATCTCATCCTACTTTCTCACACAAAACTTCATTGAAGCTTCATCACAAATAGGCCTGCACATCAAAGAATAAATGTCTCCAATGCACACTTAGATCTCTTCTGTACCACAATGATCAAAGAGATAAGGAACCTTACAGATTTCAATAACATGAAGGCACACAAAAATTCATTTTCATGTCTATAATGGACCACCCAGAATCTGATTTTAAGTTGTCCTCCTTAAGAACACGAAGCACTCAAGGAGTTCTGGAAAGCAGAAGACCATGTGGGTAGCCTTTGTTGAGAACAAAAACTGTCCTTTATTGTTTAAAATATTGTGGGCTGTCCAGGTCAGGAGGAATCTAATTGGCAGGAAAGAACACCTAGGCTGGGCCCTGGACTCCTGGGTCTGCTCCAGGGTATCAAAATAAGAATTCCTCAGTCTTCAATGGGGAAGGTACTAGGAGTTGTTTCTCAGGCAAGGCCAGTGCAAAGACGGCCTTCCTGCAAAGAAGGAAAACGCTAGCTAAAACTCCCAGAGCCTTGCTGGTTCCTGCCAGAGGATGTCAATACTGAACACTCTTTTCATCAAGGTTGTGCGTGCAAAGTCGCTTCAATAGTGTCCAACTCTTTGTGACCCTATGGGCTGCAACCCACCAGGATCCTCTGTCAGTGGGATTCTCCAGGCAAGAATATTGGAGTGGGTTGCCATGCCCTCCTCCATGGGATCTTCCCAACCTGGGGATCGAACCCATGTCTCTTATGTCTCCTGCATTGGCAGGCAGGTTCTTTATCACTAGCTCCACCTGGGAAGCCCCACTAAAAGTTAATCTGCAAAAACCTTAATACTATCCTGCTCTGAAGAGTCTTTAGAAAGGTTCACAATGTTGCAACCAAACCCAAAATAACCTTCTTAATTATCTGTCAACAGTTCCCAACAGGCCACCTCTAGAGAAACATTTGTCATCTAAGTGATTTTTTTCTACTTTAAAATGTAGTCTTTCACCATGGTGTTTATACTTGCCACAAAGATACAGCATGGTTAATGCAGAAAAAATAAATATGAAAAGTCTTACAATCAAATTAAGGAGGGCACTTGATAAAATGAGGCCTCTTCTCATAAGTAATTTGAGAGAATAACTGTTTTTCATTACAACCTCAGCTCCCAGCAGGTCCTACAAAAACCAAGCCAGCTGCAGTTCAAGAAAAGGTCCAAAGGAGGACCCACTCAAGGTGTGGGTAAATCACAACTGTGATTGCAGACCAGGTTTCTATCTCTTTTATCCCCTTTAATAAATTGGGCTTGACCTGAAACTCCAAGAAAGTTAATTTACAACAGTCAATTTCTTTTTCACATAACAGCTCACCTTTCTTTTTCTTTTAAATTTAAACCATTATGACAAATAGAGATTTATTATATACCATAAACACATGTGGCTTGAGCCCTGGTATTTTGTCTGGAAGCTCAGATGGGGCAGTGAGCTGCGGGTGCAATCAGGAAACCCCACGTGACATTCCTGATAAAGATGAAACACACACATTCCACAGCACTTACTGTGGCCAATGTGGTTCTGACCATGGTGTGGGCACCACAGAACCAGCGCAGGCTGTAAACTGAAAGGTGATTCCACTAGACCAGGGAGCGGTACTGTCAGTTACAGCCACATTACCCAATCACTGCTGACATCTTCGAAACGGCTTTTAATTAATTAGAGGTGAGCAGAAAGAGGCAGCTTCTCAACACACTTCTCAAACCTGAGCCTGGTTTCATCCTCCTCGTGTGCTCCTAACATAATCCTGCAAGTGGCTCATGTGTTTTGGTCCAGAGGCACTCGGTCATGCTGAACAGAATCATCCTAAAACCTCATTACTGATAAGTCAACTGAATCTTGATGAAAGTGGGTTAGGAACCTTTTATTTGCCATCAGGCCAAGACTAGGATGAGACTCCCGGTCCTTCTCCCTTCGCTTACCCAGGCTAAAATGATCTGTTCCTCTTTAATTGATACCTCTTACAGATCCTCATTTGGTGCTTTACTGGCTAAGCAGGGTTCCCTGGGAGGTAATATTAGCTGGTAGTTAAAGACATACACCTTGGAGTCAATCCTTGCTCCACCACTCCCCAAATTCTCTATTAAACTTGTTTTTCCATCTGTAAAATGAGAATACTAGTAAGGATCCTATATGACTCTTGGGGAGATTCAGTGAAATAATATATAGAAGTTACATGGATGATGGTGATCCATTTTTAAAAATTTAGAGATTCTCTATCATAATCAGTCACATATAGCACAATAAATAAAAGCTATCAGTAAATGTCATTATTATTAATAAACTTCCCATATGTGTAGGATTTCTCTCCAGAACTAGAATAAAGCTTCCTCAACAGAAGAACCTTCACCTTTGATCTTCTTTTGCTTTGTTCATAGATTCCAGGCACAATCAACTTTTACACACTCACTGATCACATCAATTCTACCACTATTCCTTGTAAAACAGACTTATAAAAGTAGATGAAAAAGGAAAAGTAAAATCATCCTCGATCCCAACACTAGAAATAACTAGTTAATATCTTGATGTATTATTAGTTTTCCTTTCCTTTATCAACGCTTATACATGTCTTAAAGTACAACTGATATCCACAGTTGTCATAACTCAATTTTTTAACTTAAGAGGAATTCATGGATATTTTAATCCTACCATTCAACATCATTCAGAACTGTGACCTTGGAAGGCAGCACAGCATGTCACCCTGTGGCTCTATCACCGATAGTCCTCATCCATTATCTTGGAAGTAGAGAACACCTGTGATGTTAGAGCTCAGTAAGACCAATGAAACAAGATGTTGTGTGGAATCCCTGGACGTTATGCCTAATACTGGACAATACTCAATAAATGTCCTCTCTTTCCTCCTTTGAGTCTCTGGGGTCTTCAGAGAAACTTCAAAGATTCCAACTACCACCATGAACTAAGGCTTCTCAGCACTGAAAGAATTGAATCCCAAGACCATCTCTGTAAGTCTTCTGCTCATTTTCTTCAGCTTCTCACAAAAGATTTTGGATCATGACAGTCTACATAAGTTTTATGATCACTGTAAATGATAATCCAATTTCTTTATCTCTGTCTCCTTCCAGAATCCAGAGCTCTCAGACTGGAAACTTTGTTTCTAAATAGAGTCTCTATTTCAAATATGATGGACTTGCTTCCCAACCAGACTTAAGTTCTAGACCATAAAGGGAAACTTAATATTGGAAATAATTTAGGACCTGGGGTCAGGAGACCCAAGTACTACTCCCAACTTTGAAATTTGCTAGCAGCCATCATTTTGAGTAAATAACCTCCCTTTCTGGGTCTCAGTTTTCTCATTTGTAAAATGTAATGTTGCAATAAGATTATTTCCAGATTCATTATGTCAACAACTTTAGGGCAGTGGCTAATTTATACATCCAGTTGTTTACTCTTAAAGTCTAGTGTAAGCCAGACCTAAGTCTACAGGCTTTGTCCTACAATGTGTTAATAGTACTGCCATTTACCTTGTTGTTGTCACTAAGTCATGTCCTACTCTTTGTGACCCCAAGGATTGTAGTCCACCAGGTTCTTCTGTCTGTGGGATTTCCCAGGCAAGCATACCAGATCCTTCTCCAGGGAATCTTCTTGACACACCAGGGAAGCCTAGTACTGTCAAAGCAGAGAAGAAGACAGACTGACAGATTAAGCATTAAGCCCACAGTCATGAAGTATAACCGTCATTTGAATCCAGATGTAGGTCTAAATCCAGGAAGTTGTATACATCACAAATCTTTCGGTTCTGGGCTCCCCCTAGCAACTCCAAGTACTCAATAACATTGGTTGATTCACAGATTGTGGTTTCTGATTCAATCCATGGACATTTACTGAGAGTTCATTTCTATGTGTCCTTCTGCTGAACAATACTAACATTTAGGAGCTGACAATTCTTCATTGTGGGCACTGTCCTGTGCATTGTAGGATGTTTAGCAGCATCCCCAGCTAGATGCCAGTAGAAACCACCCTCCCAAATGTGCCCATCAATGTCCCCAGAAAAAAAGGGTCAAGTCGTCATTCATTGAGAACCCCCACTCTAAAACAAAACATGCTGAAAACACAGGAAAGACAGGCTTAAAGAATAAAGCATTAGTCTAATACCATATGAACAGAACAGTAGCAATGCAGTCAAGCAATCACACGAAATTCCAACAACACACCCCTTCTTAAAAACACACCTGACTTATGAGCATACCCTATTGTAGGAACAACACTACCTCACAGACAGTAGGGAGGGGTTTACACTCTTGCCCCATTACTAAAGGCAGGGTTAGAGCCAATCTCTTCGCTACTAGGATCACAGCAGAAAATGGGGTTTCTCCCTTCCCAAATTATAGGGGAAAGGCAAGAAAAACTGTTTTCCTAGCCTTCTATCCAAGTTAGGACCCTGAAGATGTTTTCCAATAGAACCAATTCTTTAATTGAGGTTTTCAGGCTAGCCCACAAAAGTATTTTATCTAAAACAGGGCTCTTCTGCACAGTTTAGTGAGATGCCTGGCAGCCTACCATCATTTAAACCTGTGTTTTGTAAGAATATAAATTCTAAATATGCACTACCAAAATTGACAGCAAATATGCGGAGTCAGAGACTAAATATAAGGCAGAACATGACAATCAAATCTGTCCTCTACCTGCTTTTATCCAGAAGTTCCCATCAATGTCTCCTTCATCTCAGGCTCTCCATCGAAACTCATCACTTGAGTATAAACACATAACACACGGCTTCTTTTCATTCCTTTTTTTTTTTCTTTCTTTTCATTCTTAAGTGCATCTGCAGTTGAGTCTTTTAAGGATCTTTCCTGGCACTCTTTTGAAGTTGATTCTTGGTGTGAAACTGACTGAAGAGAGGAATCAGGAACCCAAACTTCAAGTTATGCCAGAAAGCACAAGCCCCACTGGGGAAAAGCACTCAGGGATCCCTGTCTCAGAATTAGTAAGTTTCAGTCACTGACAGGAGTGAAAATCCAGAAGTGCCATAGATCATCAGAGACACTTCAGCTTACGATCATATTTTATCAACAAAATTACATTCCAGGAAGGGGAAGAGAGGAGAAGGGAGAATAGGTGTAGAGAGGGAGAAAAAGCCACATAAAAGTTCTGAAATATATCAATGTCCAGAAATGGGAAAGGAAAAATAAAAAAAAAGAAAGAAACCTTTGGAGAATTAAAAAAAAAAAAACCCATGAAATAAAATGTCTATCTTATTTCAGAATCCAGAGTAAATAATATTTCTGATGCCCCCACAGAGAGTCAAATCCAGCCAGCAAAACAAACACAGATACAAATAAATACTGGGGCAGTGAATTAGGGAAGATACACAGAGGAATTTAAAGACAGGATGAGGGTTTTGTTCAGAAATGGGATCCTTCCTCCCTTCTCCCCTCCCCAATTTTATTTTCTTGAAGTAAAATCCATTATTTTGGAAACACCATTTGAAATCCTAAAGAAATAGCAAAACACAGTATTGTGGTATTCCAAAGTAATATCTCTTGTTTATAACCATATAAATTTAGCCCCTGGCACTACAGGGCTTATATAATAGAATAGAGTTATTTTAACAGCGCCCTGTTAAAGAAGAAGCAAAATGTTCAGCTCATTTTCTCCGGTGGGAGGGACGCATGGCCTCATGCGAGAGAGCGAACATGCCTAAGTCATTACCGCGGGAAAGCCATCCGTCAAAGCCGGGTCGCTCTGGCATGGCCAACACCACTGGCGAGATCACAGAGGCAGCCTCTGCTTGCAATTACCAAGGAAGGACCTTGGCTCTAGGCAGCCTGCTATCAATTACTACCCTGGCCTCGCCGCTTGGACTTGTCAATTTCCCAGTGTCTTCTGTTTTGTAGCAGTAAGAAAAAAGGCTCCTCCTGACTGATTCTTGGAAGTTTCTCATGTGTTGTGTGACTCCTCGGTGTCATTAACAATTCAATTAAAATTTCACAGCACACAGGCAGGCAGCACCGGACAGAGGGCGGGAAGGAGCCCTGGCCGAGGAGATTTCCAAAGGGCCTGCAACAGGGCCATGTCGGATCAGGCGAATCCAATCTTGAAATTTCTTTGACTTCACAAGTCAGGCTTGCATGTGTCTCCCATCTGATGCGATGCTGGCTGTCATCTTGGCAAGATGACATGTTTGATGTTCTCACCCCGCTGGGGGTGCAGAGATGGGAAGGAATTTCAGGCTGGCTGGAAACAAAAATCTCACATATTACTTCACTGAAAGTTTTGGCTCTGTAATGGATAATTATAAATATTCATAATCAGCTCTATTAATCTACAGTGAGTTCTAGAAAGTTCTTTTTCTCCATTTTTTCCCCCCACTGGGGCTTCCTATTCTCTTGCTTTCCAGAGTAGAGCTGTCTCTAAGAATTTAGAGACAGAGTATAAATCACAATTAAATTCTTCAGGAAGGTGGAGGACTGGGAACCCTAAGACAGGGGTGGCTGGAAACAAGAAAGACTCGCTACTGTCATTATTAACTCTGTGAAAGTGCAAACACTCCTTTGTCTCGCTGGATGATGGAGCTATACACGCTCACGTGCTTTTAAGCATCCCAAGGGTTTAGGGCAAAACTGAAAAAAAAAGTTTCAGGCTTAAGACTTCTGAGGCAGCTTTCTCTCTAACCCTCTCAATGAGTTTAGTCATGCAAGGAAAGATTCTTTAAAGTTACCAAAGACTTTGTTTAATGCCTAAGAAAATGCAGACTGTCAGCACCCTTTGTCAGGGTTTGGTGGCTTAAGTCCATTCCCCAATACACTGGTGACCCTCCAACCCCTCATTCACTAGTTTCTTTTTGACATCAAGCGCTGGATAATTGTTTGATTTCCTTCTAGGTAAAAGGAGATTAAATGCCCAGCTGCAACAGCTGACACACAAAAGGGAAAATATAGTTTAACCACCATATTTATCAAGATAATTTTTCTTCCACACGCTGATTAATAACATTAGCCAACCATCCCCTTCAGCTTGGGGAGAGAAGGGGTGGGGAGGGACATGTCCCCCTTAAGAGTATCAGAAACAGGAGCTGACAGTTCAAGGCAAAAATGATTTGCATGTAAATTCTGATCAAAAGCAAGTCTGCACCCTGAAGTTGTCAAGTTTTGCTACCAATTTGACACTTAAATGGGCTATAGCAAAACTTGATTTAAACTGAAGAGGGAAAAAACATGGCAACTCAATTACCCCCTAGCAGATCGGATCTGGCAGCTGAGGTCAAACTTTTCACCCTGCCATTACATTTCTCAATACCTGATGCTTTAAACAAACACTATGTATTCCTCCTACAATCCTGGAGGAAAATGCATTTCTCAGGACTCCCTACTGTGCCCCAGATTAAAAAATAAAGTTTCACTTGTGTGGGATCTGGGGCCATTTTCTCCATTTAAATTTCTGAATAAATCAGGACTTGAGAAATGGCCATTTTAGACTGGGAAAAATAGTCTCTGCCACCCCCCTCAAAAAAAAAAAAAAGAAAAGAAAAATACTTCACAGGGAAGATTTGTGGAGTACTAAAAGATGATTTAAAAACAAATATTCCCATAGCATTAGAGAGAAAACATTGACCTGTTTTTAGTTTGCTTTTAATATATTTCATATTTGAGCTTCAGCTGAACAGCACATTAATTCAGCAGGGAGAAAAACAGCTAGCTGGTTCCAAATCAGCTCCAAATTTATGGAGGACCAAGCATCTCATGCGGCCCCGGGACACAGGCTCAAATGCAGGAAAAGACTCGGTATAACGACCCATCTGGCCTCTGGGATTTTTATCCCACCAGAATTTAAATGCTGCTGTCTCCTGGGCCATTTAATCCCCCATGGAGCTCTCATTCCTGCAACTTTTTAAACCAACAACTGTTTAAATTCATCTTAATAAGTCCCTCAAAACAGCTCTAAAACTAGTTTTTTGTTGTTTTTTTTCTTTTTTTAAAGTCATATCCCTATGTTGGTTTTAAGCTCCTTCTGAAAAGTAAGATGTTTAGTGACTGCATTTACCCTAATTTCTGGTACTTGTATTGGGCAATCGGATCTTATACACGGCATCGTCTCACTTATTTAGCCAGTAAATACACTGAGCGTACACCGAGTGCCAGGCACTACGCTAAGCCCTAAGGGGCCCAATATGAGTAAGAGTTGGTTACAGCTGGAAATCAGTCACATACACAAGTAACTGTAATAGTACAGCGGATGCACTGCAGACAGTAATACTTAAAGTATGTGATAGCAGATTTAACTGAGGAAGTCATTCCAGGGGAGTAAATATTTAAAATTCCCCTGGTGACTAAGACTTTATCTATATTGACATCCAGTCGGTTGTGGGACAAGAGTGCCAATGGGGGACTGAGACATCTGTATGGAAGTAAGCAAGGTGCCACTTCTTGGCAAACAGATGGGAAAACAATGGAAACAGAGACAGACTTTATTTTGGGGGGCTCCAAAATTACTGCAGAGGGTGACTGTAGCCATGGAATTAAAAGACGCTTGCTCCTTGGAAGAAAAGCTATGACCAACCTAAACAGCATACTAAAAAGAAAAGACATTACTTTGCCGACAAAGGTCTGTCTAGTCAAAGCTATAGTTTTTCCAGTAGTTATGTATGGATGTGAGAGTTGGACTATAAA